AAAACCAATTACAAGGTTATAGGTTTGGCCATGCCAAAGTACATAAGAAGTTTGTTGACCTTTCGGAAGACCATGCTGTGCCCACACATCCTGGTCGATCTAGTGCCTCTCCCACCCACCTAGCTTACCTAAGCTTTATTAAAGTGTTAATACCACATTCGGTCACTGGGATTGTTAAATCGTGTCATGTTTAGTGATTAGAAAACATTAATATCAAATTTGGTCACTCGAATTACTAAAACAGGTCATGTTTATTCACTCTCCGTTAGTCCCCGTTCAACTCTGTTAATGGAGTTCGTTATGTGCTTACGTGGCTAACGGGAGCGCCTAATCAACACCATTTTGACCTGGAAATGGTCAAACCCAACCCGCCACGTCATTAAATCCGCCACATCATACACCTAACCCAACCTGTTAACCCAACCCAACCCAGACCCAATAATCTTGCTCAACCCCTCCTCCTCATCTTCCTCCATCGTCGACCTAAACCCACTTCTCCATTTCCCCGACCCGAGCCCTTACCTCGACTCTCTCCTCTCCGCCATCAAAAGAAGAAGAGATAATTTTATCGATGGAGTTGTTCCCATTACAGCTCGATTTGGCCCTCCAAACGCCAAAACCTCCTCCACCTGGCCCCGTCGGCCAGTATCCAACGAAGACGTCGTCGATTTGGGCGGGTTCTTGAAGCGAGCCCTCGACTCCAAAAACCCCACATTTGCCACTTCCACCTCCACCTCCTCGCTCGACCTCTCCCTCTCCAAGCCTCGCCTCTCTGATTCCAACAATTTCAACCACCACCACCACCACCAGCAGCAGGTGCCGTATCAAAACCCAAACCACCACTATCCAATCAGCTTCCAGCAGCAAAAGGTGAGCCAGGAGCTAGGTTTCTTGAGGCTGATTCGCGGGATTTCGGTCTACCACCAAAACCCTCTGACCACCAATCCCAACCCCGGATTCCCCTTTTATCAGCAGCAGTCTCATCATCTAGATAGTAGTAGTAGCAGCATTATCCCTGTAGGAGGGGGCCCATCAGAATCCTCGTCACTCCAAACGTCAAAACCCACTTCTTCTTCTTCTTCTTCTTCTTCTTCTTCTTCTTCTTCTTCTTATTATTATTATTATTATTATTATGGCGGAGAGGAGAGAGTCGAAGTAAGGGCTCAGGTCGGGGAAATGGAGAAGTTGGTTTAGGTCGACAATGGAGGAAGAAGAGTAGGAGGGGTTGAGCGAGATTATTGGTTCTGGGTCGGGTTGGGTTAATGGGTTGGTTAAGTGTATGATGTGGCGGTTCTGGTGACCTGGCGGGTTGGGTTTGGCCATTTTCGGCTGAAAATTGTGTTGATTAGGCGCTCCGGTTAGCCACATCAGCACATAACAGACTCCATTAACGGAGTTGGATGGAGACTAATGGAGAGTGACTAAACATGACATGTTTTAGTAACTCGAGTGACCAAATTTGATATTAATGTTTCCTAGTGACTAAAAATGACATGATTTAGTAATCCCAATGACAAAATATGATATCAACCCTTTTATTAAATTCTTGGGCTCTACTGTAATATGATCGTATTCGGTTTGGAGTGGTGGACGTCAGCTCGATTGACCCTCATTTGACGATCTTTTGTTTTGAGATTTGCGTTGCTCTGGCGAATCGAGAAAACTCTGTATATGTTTACCAAATCAAAGGAGATTAGCATCAATATGTTTGGCTTATCAAATGAAAATCTGCATCTTGAAGCATGACGTTGCAAGGTGTTTGGAGGACAAAGATAATTACTGAGGAGAGGGCAAGAAGTTCGTGATCCTTGGCTCCTTGCCTTGAGGGGAGGATTGTTATGGTACAATATAATTCAAATAACACATCGGAAATATAAGGGAAATGACATATATAAATGTCCACATATCCCAATTAGTACGAGACCTATTGAAGAGGATACCCAAAAGTAAAACCTTGCCGGTTTGGTGCAAAATGACAATATCATACTAATGAGCTACTCAATTACAACAAATGGTATCAAAGCCTGATTTGATGTTTCAAATTCGGGACGGTGAACATAAGTTTGGTGGCCCGCATTTAGTGACCTTGAGATTTGAGATTTGTCTTTATTTGGCAGATCAATTAGAGATTCATTCTCATGGATGTAATAATGAATATATGCATCTGTTTGGGGTAAATACATTAGATACCACTAAACTATGAGAATTAGTATCACTGAAGTACTGGACACCATGAAAGTCATTGAATCTGCATGAAATCAGACGAGTGATTTGAATGAATCAATTGAAAATGTGAAATTTGGATTCAAATTTCTGGATTTGAACAAAAATAACATGGGGAGTGATGTTGGTTTTCCAAATATTAGTTTTTTGTTCATGACTAGTCAACCATTAGTTTTGATTTTATGCTAAGACAACCCATAGTTTACATATATGATGTTCACATCAAATTCTACATCTAAATCTCCCATATGCAGGGCCGACCAAGAGGGTGTGTTGGGAGACCTAGGGGTGGGCAACCGGTTCGGTAAAACCCAAATAGAATCGAATCGAAATGAAACCGAACCGAAACCAAATCAATGCTATTTTGTTCAGAATTCGGAAGGAAAATATGAATAGTTCAGAAATCAGAGTTCTTTCAACCGAACCGAATTTCCGACCGAAAAACCAAAATACTGTAATTGCAAGCTCCAAATGGTGGATTTTTATGTTTGTAGTTGTTTTTAGACTTAAATATTTGAAATGTTTCATGACTTATGTGTTGAAAAGTTTGATTTATCATTGATGATGCATATAATTGCATATTTATTGTTTATATTAGGGGTAAAAAACAATTTAAAAGTGAGAAGATACAAATAGCTTCACAAATTCGGTTTTGTGTGAAAACCCAAACCAAACCGAATTATAATTCGGTTTAAACTGACCTAACCGAACTATAATTCGGTTCGAATTCGATTTGAGATTTGGGAGAATTGGGGACCCGGTATTCATACTTTTGGTTCGATCAAAACCAAACCGACCGATTGCCCACCCCTAGGGAGACCCTCCAAATATTAGGGGGCCTCCACCTAGATCTGTTAGTTAATCCGAGCGTGTATTGTAGGTTGTATGTAGTATATAATTAATTGATGATAAGTATGATGAAGAGTTTAATTATATTAATAAATATTAGTGTGAATCATTGTTTAATATTTTCATGTATGTATACACTAGGCACGCATATTGATTGTTAAAGTATTGTGTGTTTCAAAAATCCTATTTGTATTATGTAAATAGTACAGGAAAAATCTTAACTGAATAACTGTGGTTACAATTGAAAATGATCTCGTAGAGAATAGAAAAATGCAAGAGATAACAAATAATTTTATTTTAAACAACGTTAAAAGGATATTATATTTCAAATAATTATGATATATTTTAATTTCAATATAATTAAACGTCAATTTGCACATCTCAATTTTGGAACTTCCACGATCCGTTGGTTGGACGATCCAAGAGCCTAAAACGACGGGAGAAGATATGGTGACAACATTATATTTGTTGTTATTGTAACAACACTAGTCTCTAACCAATAGGAAGCTAGAATTGTGATGACTTTTTATTAGATGAGTTGACCTAGTGTAAAATCAAAGCAGGGGTATAATTGTCATTATGAAAAATATATTTAAATAATAATAAAAAATAAAAAAATAAAAAATATAAAAAATATTTTTTTATTTTCGGACCAAAATTTTGGTCGCCGGAATTCGGCCATCGGTCGCCGGAATCTGGTCGCCGGTCACCGGAATATGCTATTTTTCGCCGGAATATGCTTACCGGCATCGGAATATGCTCACCGTGGTCGGAATATGCTTACCGGCGTCGGAATCTAGTCATCGGGGCCGGAATATGCCTATCGGCGTCGGAATCTGCTCACTGACGGTCATCGGAGTTCGGTCAACGAAATTCGTTGACCGGTCAACGGTCAACGGTCAACGACCACCGAATGTTATGGTCTTCATTGTGAGATTTATGGTTTGGTTTCTCGCATTTTTGTATGCCTTTTGTGGTTTGCTTTATCGTGTTTGTGGTTTGCATTAAGAAGTTTCTGGTTTGCTTTATCGTGTTTGTGGTTTGTATTGAGAAGTTTCTGGTTTGCTTTCAAAAAGTTTGTGTTTTGCATTGAGCGGTTTGTGGTTTGTTTTAGGAGATTTGTGGTATGCATTAGGAGGTTTCTGGTTTGTTTTTTTGGTTTGCTTTAATGTGTTTTTGGTTTGCATTATGAGGTTTCTGGTGTGTTTTTGAAAATTCTGTGGTTTGCTTTGTGAGGTTTCTGGTTTGTTTTAATATATTTTTTGTTTGCATTAGAACGTTTCTGGTTTGTTTTTGTGGTTTGCTTTACGGTGTTTATGGTTTGCGTTATGAGTTTTCTGGTGTGCTTTCAAAATATTTGTGGTTTGGTTTGTGGTGTTTCTGGTTTGTTTTAGGGAAATTGTAGTATGCATTGAGAGGTTTCTAGTATGTTTTTTTTGGTTTTTTTTACCGTGTTTGTGGTTTGTATTATGAAGTTTCTGGTGTGCTTATGAAAGATTTGTGTTATTCACTTCCTTTGGATCATGTTCACAGTAGTCGGATTCAAATATATCAAGGTCGAATCAGCGGTAATTTTTTTTAAACAAAAATAGTAAAACAACAACAAAAAAAAAGAGACAAAAAGCAAAGATTCTCATTGTTTGCTTTGCATACATGGCTTTAACAGCTGAACTCTTTCCCATCTCCCTTTGCTTGCTACTTGTCAGTCATTTGGCCGAAAGAAAGAATAGGTTTTGGCCGGCACTTGAAGAGAACCATATAGAGTTAGTTAGTTGTATCTTCTTCACTACAATTCGTTCACACTTGGGAGATGCAGCTGCTGATCTTTGAACCTTGTTTAAAAAACTGCAGGTGCTGAAGTAGCTGTTCTGTGCATAACCAAGTCAGGGGAAGTAGTCAATTATCAAGCATTTACAGATGCCAAAAGGATGTACACGGTTGCAGAAACCATGCCCGAAAGCGACCGTTGGGATGCATGCTTGGCAAGACCTATAAGCAGCTTTCACGACCACTGCAACCAACTGGGGCCTTCTAGCAGAGGACTGAAGTTTAGTTACAACAAGCCATCCGGATCCACGTCAGCGTGATCGACGTTGTGTCGGAGCCGGCCACGATCAGAGACTGGAAGAGAACAAAACTTTTATCAGTAGCAGCTAGACGCCATAATAACGAAATTCATCTCTATATATTAATTAATTACCATAGCGGTGGCCTTGATGATATCCTCACGCTTGTGACCGTAGGCGACTTCGTCCTTGATTTCGGAGAGCATGACGTCGATGAGGTCGGGATTGGCCAACTGCTTCTTTTTCTTCTTCTTGTGCTCGTCGATCCAGCTCTCCATGATGACGTCCAGCTCCTTGGAGACCCGCTTCATGGTGTTGACCACCCCTTGGAAGCCGAACCAGCCGAGCAAAGGGATCAAATCGGACGGGACGAGGGTTCCGGTGACGAGCATGAACTCCCTCATCACCTGGCCGATGGGCCTCCCGCCGGAGACGGCCCGGTGGTGGTTGGTCTTGTCGAAATACCTCTTCCCGGCAACCATCCTGTTGCGGTTACTTAAACCGTGTTTAGTATTGGGCCTTGTTGGGCCTCGTCTGATTCGTTGGATTAGGGTTTTAACCCTAAGTTTATCTATATAAGCTTAGCTATCGACTTGTGTGATAGCAAGCCGTCAAGATGTAATCCTAATAAGAAATCACTCGTGAGCTCTTATGAGCTCACCGTGGATTAGTCTCGATCAATCAATCGATCGAGGATACCACGTAAAATCGTTGTGTTCTGTGTTCTTTCCATCTTCCGCATCATCAAATTCTACATGGTATCAGAGCGAAACTCGATCCTTAATTAGGATTTTGAGCTTCCGCCGTCGTTTGTCGTCTTCATCAATTCCATGATCCGCAACAAACAGAAGCAAACCCTTCCCGGTGAAGCTTCTGTCTCCAGGTCCGCCGGCATGAGTCCCATGCTATCGTCGTCATCGCCGTCAGTCTCCATGTCACTAGATCCGGTCGTAGCCATCACAATCAGCCTCTGCGTTCCATCATCAGTTGCAGTCAAGAAGCAGGAGGTAGCGGCGAATTTCGTACCCAGGTTTTTTGTCTGCATCATCTTGTCAACGTTGGCAGCTAACTTGCAGTTGGTTCGGACGGGATCTGTATCCTCAAATTGGTTCCGTCATATTGCTCAATTTGTTTTGGATTCCCATTGTGCGGTTCCATTGTCTCTCTCGGATGTCAATTCAATGTGGACATGCAACGAGGTCAATTTCATTAAGTCAAGGAGTTTTTAGTAGCAAGCTGCTGCATTTTGCTTCCAAGAGTCAAGTTTATGGACGCCCCAACCAATTCATCAAGAGAAAGGTCAAGGGTCCAGTGAGAGGAAATCGACATCCTCACATTGCTCGCGTTGGAGAGAGAGGCCAGGAGGCTTCGTTGAGATCGATTCGCCATTTTGTTCGTCTTAATCATCATTGTTGGCTTTAGGCGAGACTGCTCAAATCCGAGCCCCCGCCATCACCAGTCTCGTTTCATCCGCAATCGATATGCTTCCTCGTCTTTTGCCTCTCGTCTCCCGCCGTTCCGCCATCTCAAGCTCCGTCGTTGTACAAAGGAGTGGCGGCGCTGCATTGCTAAGTGCTAACCCATTTTAGGGTTTCCCCAATTATTATTGGGCCGGCGGAAAGCATAGCCGAAAATGGCCCTTATGGGCTCCCATATCTGATTTAATAAGAGTTTTATGGCTCTTCAATTAGATTTTGGGTCAATTATTTTGTTTGCAGGCTTTTGCTAGCAAAGATAGACAAGCATCGATCGAGGCATTCACGATCCATTAGATGGTCGTCCCCTGGCGTTCAAAAGGTAGTACGATCAAAGAAGTAATCGTCCCTTCATCGTTCAGCTGGCATTCACGATCCAAGAAATGGTCGTCCCCTCTTTCGGTTCATTAGTGGGCACATATCAACCATTCATCGCTTTTCAAGCTGGGCATTCACGTTGTTCATGCTCCAGCTTGAGGGGGAGAATAGGAGGTCAACATACGTCGGTCGACTAACTCAGTCATCAAGTCGACCGCGATGTACCAGGTGTGTTCAAGTTCAAGAGACGCAGTCAATCGTCTCCATCATCAGGTTGTTCAGAGAGAGACAGTTGTCTCCAATCAACCTCGTCCGAGATGTTATTCATCTCCAGTTTTGTGGTTCAAGCCATCATGCTTGTTCTTCACAGTTACTTCTTCAAGCTCGACATTCTTGTCATTCATGTCTTCGCTTGAGGGGGAGTGTTGCGGTTACTTAAACCGTGTTTAGTATTGGGCCTTGTTGGGCCTCGTCTGATTCGTTGGATTAGGGTTTTAACCCTAAGTTTATCTATATAAGCTTAGCTATCGACTTGTGTGATAGCAAGCCGTCAAGATGTAATCCTAATAAGAAATCAGTCGTGAGCTCTTATGAGCTCACCGTGGATTAGTCTCGATCAATCAATCGATCGAGGATACCACGTAAAATCGTTGTGTTCTGTGTTCTTTCCATCTTCCGCATCATCAAATTCTACACATCCTGGTGATTATGTTGAGGACGTACCCCTGGAGAGCCTCGGTGATGGCGATCGATCCGGCCTTGCTCTGGTGGTAGAGATCGGCGATGAGGAAGTCGACCTCGGAGATCTGGACGTGGCGGAGGGCCTTGATGCGGTTGACGGAGAGGAGCTCGGTCATGACCATCTTCTTCATGTCCCGCCAGTAGGTGCCGTAGGAGGCGAAGCCGATGGCGGCGTAGTTGTAGCCGAGGACCTTGGCCTGGCTGGAGTCCGGGCGGAAGGAGAGGATGCGGTCGTAGTCGCTGAATATTGATTTTTTTATTTGTTAAATATTGTGTTAATGGACCCTTTTACCCTTCTTGTTACTATAACAACAAAGGAGGTGTTGTTATAGTATCCGAACCCTAAAACAAACTATAGAAACCTACCTCTAACAGCTTAATGCGAGGCTAATCATTCACCGTTGCATGGTACAATGCAGAAACAAGATATTGTTGCTCTAAGATGCATACCTAGTTATAGGCATTGATATCATTCATGAAAGAAAACCCTAATTTTTCCGGTGACTTGTGTATGACCTCAGCTTTACCATATGGGTGCGAGGGAGGGTAGAGCAAATATAATTATGTTGGGAAGGGTTCGGAATTCAATGGCAAGTATGATTATTTTTGTATTCACAAACAAAGGTAATGGTTTTTGAGCCGCTCAACTCTGTATCTCTCCATCATTTCCCTTTAGAAACGTGAATATTAAACTTACTCGATATATCTTAACGTGTTTAGGCCTCAGTCCATTAGTACAAGCTCCCAATCAATTATTTTCACTAGCAATTACCGTGAAACTACTAATTTGCTACTTGGAACCAATTTGAAAGTGCACGACACCCCCCTGATGTACATAGCTTTTTAGTTTTTATTCATGTGTTCTTAGTTCTTAGTATATTTTTCTCGTAATCTTATTACGATCTTGTCCCTTTCGAACTGATTCGAGTTCCCGGAGTCGTGACAAGCCAACACCAACTTAAATATTCAACCAACTAGCTAGCCGGAAACTAACATGAAGAAGAGAGATGACATGCATAAAAAGATGGAACATTGGAAGAAACAAAAAGAAACCATGGTCTAAAATGAAGGATCAAAGGCTGTTGTTGTTGTTGGTGGGATTGGATTGAATTAGTTCGTGATGATTGATGAGCAGCTAGCACCCAGACAGGAATGGTGGCCTGTTGGAAAGAGAGGAAAAAGGAAGACAGAGAGGACAGAGGAGCAGCAAACTTGGGAGAATATTAATGTTGCAGAAAGAAATAGAGAGAGAAAGAGAATGAACGAATGAGCCCAAAGAAGATGGGAGTCAACTAAGCAGGATGCAGAGCAGAGCAGAAAGGAGAAAAGGGAAAAGAGCGCAAGGCTCGAGGGTGGGAAAGGAAGGGACACAAACACACAATTATTGCCCCATTTCCTCCCCAACACGTCATTCAATTCTCACCAATCCACATTTCTTTTCACTTCACTCTCACCCCCTCCTTCTACAATCTACATACTACATCTACAACATATGAGGAGCGGATTTGGTTAGTAGTAACGGATTTGGTTAGTAACAAGTTTATAGTGAGTAATCATGATTAATCTGTTCACATAAGCATCTTTTTCTTATGGAAAGTCTTTCATCTTTTTCTCTTTAATTTTTAACGGACAATTTTTCTCTCGTTTTAAGTCAAAATATAAATTTTTTGCACAAATAAATTAAATTAATTATGCTCTTTAAAATGATATTCACTTAGATATATTTTTAGAACAAAAAAATTAGGGTAATATCTATTTTTTTTTGTTAAGGATGATATATATTAATGTGAGAGAAAAAATAACAAGGACAAAAACGAAAGCAGGGTACAGCCAGGTTCACAGAAGGAGGCAAAAAAAACAGGGAAAAAGCAAAGGACTAAGGGGAAAACAGATTCCCCAAAACCTTAATCCAACCATCAGAGGGTTGCCACCAGCTAAACGAAGGAGAAAAGGAGAGAAGCACTTCCCCTTCCAACCTACTACTCGGACATGGAAATGGAAACAGAGTGGCAGAGAAACAGAGAAGAAGGCGTCAGGAAGCAGCATTCTCTTAGAGGGTCAAAACGACAGCAAACACCTGAAGCAAGTGCCCGAAAAGGTTCACTGGTTCACCAATGTCTATTTTTTATCCAAACCTTTTCCAGATTCTTTTATATTATCCAAATCTACTAAAATTCTATTAATTAGCCAAATCTTTCATAATGCATCAAAATATTAGCCATATTTACATTATTGTTAATAATTTTATAACTCTTTTCGTAGTTAAAATACGAAAATTTTGAAATGTTGACCTTCATGTTCTCTTCGAAGTCGGTATCATGTCGCCAAGTCCATATTACTAACAAAATTGCTAACTGAAAGTTAACATTTGGTTAATTCTTAGTATTTCGATAGGTTTGGATAATATAAAAGAATCTGGAAAAGGTTTGGATAAAAAATAGACATTACCCAAAAAATTAATCATTTTTTACTAGTCAATATCATATGGTATGCTTATATTTAATATCATATGGTAAGAAAACGTACAATGATGGTATGAACATACCAATATGATAGGAAGGTTGAATACATGATAGTAAGAGTATACTAACTGTCATTTACGGCTTTCATCATTGTTTACCACAAGTTACCACCCACATACCATAGTGGTAAAGTATGGTAATTTTTGGTCCCGTATTTTTTCACCCATAAATTTGTAGATCCAATAGATCATGATGAACTCGTTCCTTCTGTGCAAAAAATTTCAAAAACGAATTAAAAACAAAGAAGTTACCATATGGTATATAGTTAGTAACGAGACGTATGAAAAAAATTCCCGAAATATATTGAAAATTGATCTCATTTTGTAGAGCACAGCGAACTCGTTCCATCTGTGCATAAAAAAAATGAAATCTAAGTTAGAACGAAGAAGATAAGAGCCGATTAAGAAAACTAGGGAAAATAAAATG